CATAACATACACATCGAGACAGTCAGTGAATACTACTTGAAAAACATAGACCCGGATAACTCACACGAAGTGAGCAGGGCATTTTCAAAGTTATATGGGGATCTATTCATGATATGTCCTACCTACTTATTTGCTAAGCAATTTGCTATGAACTCAAACCGGGATGCATATTTCTACATGCTAACATACCAAAGCAATATATTTGGTAGTTTAAACTGGGATGACCATGGTGATGTTGTTCACGGGGCTGACATGGCCTTTGTGTTCGGACACCCGCTCCGGGATCCCAAGTCTTATACGGAAACGGACTATGATTTCAGTATAGATGTGATGCAAATGTGGACTAATTTTGCCACAAATGGGTAAGTATTTTGTTAAAAATTTTGAATTTATATTAAAATTTAATTTGTTTTAATAGTAAACCTCATCACGAATGGTCAAACCTTTTGGACAGGGATTCAGATAATTTGGTGTCAAATGTAAAAGATTTAAACCCCGACCAGAGGTCACGTGTTTTATTGGATCCCTTTAAGAGTACTTGTGATGGCGTTTGGAAACAATATTTTTTAAATTATTAAATTACAATACAATATGTAATTAATTAATGTTCAATTAAGTATAGTAACTTAGTTTAATTTTTAAATAATTAAAAATAATTAGTTAATTAATTGGTCTAATGGTATTAAAACAAATGTAATTTTTTTAATTACTGTTTATTAAATATTTTTCTAACATTGTATCTGATACTGTATTTTTAAAAATGTAAAACATTTCAAAACATTGTATCCAATAATAGGTGAAATAAAATTATAGAACATATTTTGTTTTTTTATTATTTATTAAAAGGGTTTCACCCTGGTTGATATTGGTTGCCAATGTTTAATTTTATAACTTTGATTCATAATCTAAATAAAAATTAAATAACTATTACAGTATTAAAATATATTAAAAATAAAACACAATTAACTTGATTATCATAAAAAACAATTAACAATTTAAATTTTCAAATTATTTGGAGACAATATTTTTTACAATGTTTTATAAATTTAAACAATTTCAATGCATTTTATCCAATAATAGGTAAAATTATTTCTAATAATTTACTTTATATTAGCTGGTAAAATTAATGTGCAATTTATTTCAATTTGTTTATCAAAATATTTTAATTCAAAGATTTTAGAAAATGACTTTAGAAAAAGTTCATAAATATATTTAATTAATAATTTTAAACAAAAATAAACAAATTTTGTTGAATCCAAATCCAATAAAATGTTTTCTAAATCTCATTCAATATGTTAAAGCAATTATAATTATTCATTACTGTTTATTAAATATATTTATTTTTGCCAATAACTTTTCTATATAACTTAGGTAAATATTAATTTATTATTACAGTTTGAATTGGTGTACCCTTTTGGAAAATTTGACCCTGACTTAATTGCCAGAAAATTAATTAAAATATTTTTATTAAATAATTTTATTAATTAATCAATTGTTTTCCCACTAAATAATTTTATGAAATTCTTTGCATAGTTTAGTAGAAATATAATCTATATTTACAGTTTTATTAATAAAACTTATAATCTA